CAGAAGCTCAGACGGCTGCCGTCTGCTTCTGTTACTGCTGGATAAGAACCTTTTACAAGTATGGGACCGCTAGTAGGACGCTTTGGGCACCACTGATATCGGTACAAAATGTCATGGCAATCCATCCAATAACTGCTTTTCACAAAAAAGCAATATCACCGATATTATCAAGCTTCTTATTCTCAGCCTTTGGTTAATGGATGATTTAATTTGTGCATTTTTAAAGGAACTAGACATTTGTTTGGAATAGAGAATCCAAAGTATATGTTTTTCCGACTTTAAGGTCCAGGGTTAATTTAAAGTGTGTGTGATGTGTAGGAACTGGACCTCCACATGGAGAAATACGAATACAGTTTTCTAAATGTGTGGCGTGGTGTGGCTGGGCCTGTGATCTCCTGCGTTTTGAGGTCAGTGGAGTAAATATTTCCATGCTGTTTGACCTTCTAAGTCTGAGCCGGCATCATCGCTCACACATACACACCATGACGCACGTGCTGCTCACACGACACAAACATAAACGCACACACAAAGCTACAATTTTTTTGGTCTGTTGTAAAAAATACTCATGACCTTAAAAAGGGAGCATTATCTACAGCTCCCTGTATTTAACATCAAACAAACGCTGCAGGCAGGCGACAACTGGACGGAGGAGGAACGAGGAGAAAAAGCTGCTCGGGTACAATAATCCCAAATCCTAGAAAGTGGTGGATGCAAACAGAAAGCCGAGTAACACAACTTTCATTCTTCTTTGTCTCCCCGAGGATCTCGGTGCTTTTATCAGTGGCAAAGGAGTGCAACTTAGACTAATGCAGTTTACGGGGCGCTTCTCACATCTCTGATTTTGCAGCGGGCCCACAAGTCTCCCAGGCAGCTGTTTTATTCCATTAAATAGAGTGCTGCTGACTTCAGAACTTTTAAGAAAGAAGCTCTCACTGTGCTGCCGGGCAGCAATCCTCCAGTCTGCTTTCATCTGGCGCACAAACAGACACAAAGGTCCGCATGTAAACGTTGATGAAGTAGGGTGAGGCTGAAGCACATGCCGCTATGTTCACACCTGCAGCAGCAAGCAAAGTTGTTTGGACTTAAAAAGATGTGAGGGGTCCTCAGGTCCTCGTTGAATCCAGAAACGCGGATACTCGTGTGATGTTCGGCTATTCCTGAGACAGAAAGGTTCGAATGCCTCTTAAAAATGTCTTCTTTTCTGCAGCAGCTGTGGTATTTAGAAGCTAATCTAGTAGCTGAAACAGCACTTTGTCCCCAAATATGATGTTGAGGCCAAGACCACAAACCACATGCAGCCCCGCTAACAAGACCGTGACTCGAACGCTGCTTCATGACCTTCTGTGTGCATGACTCTGTCGAAAGCAAACGATTTCAAAGATTCAGGTATTTCCCCAAATGACTGAATCAGTTCGAGGCCGTTGTTCAGGTTCTGATTCGTAAAGTTCAGCCGCAGGAAGTTGTGTGCAGGTTGTGTGCAGGTTGTGTGCAGGTTGTGTGTCCACGCCAGCAGTGGAAACAAAAAGGGCTTTTTTTACCCAACTGAACAGCACAGAGCTTCTGTGTTTTTGCATGTTTGTCGTGTACAGATCACATTCACTTTAGTTCTCCAGTAGATACACGCTGACTGACTGAATCAAATCATAAAAAGATGCTTAAGAAACACAAAGTAAGCACAACCGTGCAATATTGGGGAAACTGTAATCGACTAATGGCCTAAAAAGTACAGTTTTGCAAAATAATTTATTGCAAATTATTATCATTATAGAAATTATATTAAAAAATATCAATTTTAAACAATTGCTTCAGGTCATTACACTCCCTCCAACAACACAACCGTGTTGCCCGCTTCTCATTGCATCGCCTGCACACGTGTTCCCACCCCCCCGATAGCCGTACACGAGACTCTGGCAAATCATTCACCAGAAGATTGTTTCATGTGTTTTATTATGACATTTGTGCAACATTTGTAATGTTAACATGCGTTTGGGCCAAAACAAACACTCACACAATCACACTTTACAGCAGTGGAGTATTTTTACTCGAGATAAGGCACATTTCTTATGAGCATTATGCTTCTGTTTGTTGCTTTATTGGACCAATGGGCTTTGTGAACAATGTGAATCCAGTGGGACAATTTATGGACGAACGAGGGTTTCTGGATGAAGGCCCAATGGAGGAACCAATGTGAGGGAATGTGGACGTGCTCTCAATAACACATGTCATGTCTTATTGGTAATCGTTAGATTTTTTTCCAGTGCATGTGTGTATATTTTTGGCTCACTTGCCTCCTTGTGTACCTACACGTGTCTCTCACGCACAAACGGCCGTCTCTCATCGAAGTGAGAGTTCGTCTATTCCCATCCTGGTTAACCAGCGTTTCACTCCTCCCCCTCAAGGGAAAACAGAACGTTTGTGCCGAGAGACACGTGTCCTCCAGCCTGTGAGCCTAAATAGTCTAAATACGTCTCTGCTGGTGGACTCTCTCCTGGACAAATCTGTGTTCCTGAGAGGCTCCTTGTCCCTACGGTGCTTCCAACATGGTTGTCCTGTTACCGACCCTCTTTTATCAAAATAGCATTAAAAATCCAACTCTCTTTTTAACCAGCGTCAGTTCAGTTTGGTTTTAGGATCATTTATCTCATAGTGTCTTCTCTTCTGCCTGGGTCGACATATGTGGATGTAAAAGACAAAATGTGGCCTTTATTTATTCAAGAAGGTGCAAATCTCCTGTAAAATTACATTGAATTCTTTGAGTTGTGACGTCGTTTTAACTTGAAAACTGTGGAATCAGAGCCTCGTCCACTGTTGTTCATAATAAAAGGAATCCTGTTCTCTGCCCGATTATGCATCTCCGCTTGTTTCTCTTGGTTTGTATTCGCATGTACTTCAAAGCATGTGGACATGCGTTTGACTTCACATGTGAGCAAAGGTTATCAACCTCGAACTCACAGAGATGTTATAATACAACGGAGGTGAACAAAATGAGTTTTTGTGTTTTTGTGAAAATGGATTCAGAACATCCACCATTCAAAAGTACTTCCAATCATTGGAAAACAAATCCTAAATAATACATGTATAACCAGTATCGAGGAGAAGTTTAGTTTGCACCTGCTCACACTCTTGATTGACCCTCAGGGTCGATACAGGATGATCAATTCAACCGATTAAACACACCGCAACAGATAAACACACTCAAATACAGTGTCTCCTTATCTATCTGGTCACATGCCACAGAAAGAGCCTCCAAATGACCTTTGAACTGAGACAACATGCGCTGAAACACACACTATAAACACACACATAACGTCAAAAAGGGCACAAACAGTCACGTGGCCTCGTGAAGGCCAAAAAAACAACAACACAGCCATATTTATGTTCTTTATAGTGAAAATGTATTTGTTTCATGTTCAAAATGATTGCACCATATTCATCGATTACAACTATGTCGCACTTTTTGTTCCCGTTGGTTGCGCGAGTAACTCACCTGGAGGACACTTAAACTAAAACAATGGTGCTGTTTCCTTGTTTTGTGAAGTGTTTCTCTTTTTAACATGTACGACCGTTGTTGGTGGTCACAGACCTGCTAGCCGGCCGTAGTTTAGCAGATCAGCCAAAGTTAGCATTGTTTTTTCTTGTGCGTTTTAGTTTTACATGCAACATGCTCTCTTACTTCTTCTATTTCCTTCTCTCTGTTACGCACAGACACACACAAAATACTCTTTTCCGTGCACTTTCCATTCCATCTTCCACGTTACTGACACAGTAAGGTAAAAAGTCTGGCATTGATGCAAACGGCATTTCACCTTTTCTATAAAAACAGCAAGTTGCCCTAAAATGACTCAGAGTTGACTTAACTCGGTACATCTCACAGAGGTGAGTTTGTTTTTGTGACCTCACGATCTCTGCACGGCCGCTTTCTGTCCTTCTAATCGCATTGGAACATTACGCTCCAGTCATCCCAGGCCTACATTAATGTTTGACTGGACTGTGAGCCACACGTACCTCGGAGGTGGGTTGGGGTTGAGGGGCGAAAGGCATCGTTTTGAATTTGCTCCAAAAAATGTCAGGAGAAAAACAAAAGAGCGAAGAGGAAATGAAAGTTTAGGCCCCGTCTACACAAGGAGCGTGAACGCTGCTGCACGCGTACGCGGAGGGGAGTGAACACCATAAAGATGGAGGGCTGGACAGATAGTGGCTGGTTTCTGTGATTTATCAGGAAATTACAAGTATTAAAGGAATGTGTCGGCCAGCAGGCGGAGAGTTCGGTTCCCTATGAAGCAGCTTTTCCATCTTCCACAAATATTGTATTTGTCGAAGATCCAAACCGATAAACACAAGTGATGCATCACCAGTGAATACTTAGCGATGTATGTCATTTTATCATAAAACAAACAAAGAAATTCAAAGTTCTGCGTGTAGTTAAAGGGTTAAAACTAATAAAACAGGGATTTTAAAGCTCAAGACGACCGTCCTCGTCCAGCCTGAGGCCTTTCCTCTGTGCACGCCACAGGAAGGGAGTGAGCTTTCTTCCTGCTCACTTTCAATCCGTGCACAGCGGCGTGGACAATTGAAAAGAGTCAGTAAACTGCTGCAAGCGATCAAGGCTTTTTTTTTCTGCTCTCATCTCCATTCCAAATATGCAATAAACCGAAGGCTTTGCAATGTGTTTACTGTTAAAGTGACTTTTCCACTACGGATGAGGGTTTAATGACTCATTTAAAGTGTCTACAAATTGGCTGTATTGCTGACTCCTGCGTGCAGGTGTGCATCATGTAGGTCAGTAGAAGCTGACCAGCTGATGATTGGTCACATTGTTTTTTTTATCTGATTTAGTTGTGATTTATTTATTTTTATAATTTGGACAATGACTAATGACTAATACTATTAATTCTGCTTTTGTATGTTGGTCCATTGGAAAAGGCATTATGAAAGTAAAAATAAGGTAAAGGTAGTCTTCTAAAAATGTGTCAAGAAGTAAAAATAAATTAGAAAATGTATTTACTTTTTACTTTTATTTCATATTAACTGTTATTACACATTAACACAGTTTCATAAACCACCTGGTAGGTTTATCTTTGTCATCACAAGAACAAAAAACTACCAAAACATTCATGACAAGGGTCAGAAGTCATGAATTTCTATCACAAATAGAAAAATTTATTTCTGCAGGGGAAATACACCACACACACCTTCAAGTGAAACAAAATACTGGGGCAAAGACTTTTCTTTACGTTGAGAAAAAACAGTTTGAAAAGAGAAGAATCTCACTTCCAGCCACACATACTGTACACTCATCACATAATCGCACTTTTTAAAACAGGCAAATAGAAACATTCATCTTCATTTCTTTTATCTTCACATTCTTGAACCATCCAAAATCCCCAAACGTCTTCCTTGTTAGAGACAACCAATAACCCGCCGCGTCTCTTTTCCGATACCACAGTTCCTCGAGAAACCTCAAACTTACATCTTCCAAACATTGTGCAATTTACATGGAGGGAAAGAAAGGGTTGCATGACTCAACACTTGAAGGCCATTTGAATCAGTCTTTGAAAGTGAAGGAAGTTAGTGTGCAATTTTCATTAGAAATTAATCAATTTCATTTCTTTTTAGTAGAGAAGCGTTGTGTTGCCATGCACTCCCTGTACCTTCCCTTCAATATGAAGGACTTAATCAGCATCGCCATTTCCACCTCTTCAGTTTACAGACGTCACATTTACAGGAACATCGCAATCAGTGCATATTTAACCGTTACAGCCGGAACCTCAGAGGGGGCTCAACACTTGTAGTGGGCTCTACAACTTGTCTGTCTTAAAGTGGGCGGGCACTCTGAGAAGGCACATTCATATTTTACAGAAGAGCAGAATGTGAAAAATTAAAAAGATTTTCCCATTTATTTGTCCTTCCACCCCATTTCACGAGGTCCCTCGGGCCTAAATGACCACGTTACAACAGGAATCAGGTCAGTTGAGAACATTACAGTTAGGTTTAGGACTGATTTGTACACTTCCTTTGCTAAAAAAAAAAGCAGAGGTTCTTTGCTTCAGGTTCGTTCCTGGCTGAGAACCAGCCGTACGCACGGCCAACAGCCTGACGCTTTCACCAATACGGGACGGCGTCATCGACCTGGCCCCAGCTCTGCCAGCCAGGGAACAGTCCACTAGACATACGTGGACTGCCGAACTGGTCGAACTCCATCTCCAGTACCTTCACACCCCCGTGTTTGTGCCCTGACGCCTGCTTCTGTTCAACGGAAGTCGGGGCCATGCGAACGTTCATGTCCTCCCTGTTAAACCCGCCGTGCTTCAGGACGTAGTTCTTGCCGTCGTTATTGTCCCAGAAGGTCTCACCCTGGGACTTGAAGCAGATGCAGAACTCGACGCGGCTCCGGGGCGGGATGTGGACGGGCAGCTCCAGGACGAATGCGAAGGTGTCAGTGTCCTGGCAGCTGTAGATGTTGTTCATGAAGGTGCATTCGACGTCCGTGAAGCTGGTCCACGAGTCGAATGTGGCGCGCAACTGCACCGACTTCTCGAACCCCGTGTTCCGCACCTTGATGGTGCCCGTCAACGAGCGCTCCTGCAGCGAGCAGTTCTCCAGACACACCGAGTTCTGGATCAGGCGGTTTCGGAAGTCCAAGTAGTCGGCCGAGGGCTGTTTAAAGTCCAGTGCCAGGCTGCGCATTGAGCTGATCTTAAGATCCATCGTGGCGGTTTCCAGGTCCGCCATGTCGAACTGCAGCTCCTCGCTGATGCCGCCGTTGGCGTTTTGATACGGCTCGTCGTCGAACTTGGAGAAGACGTGTATGGCGGTGAGTGACATGCCCTTCGTGTCTGCGAACACCACCTTCTTCTTGCCGGCCCTGCTGTTGTTGTTCCAGCCCTCGCAGCCGCCGCCGTCGCCGTCCGCCGCCCTCTGCAGGGTGCTCAGACACGGCCGCAGCGGCTTGTAGTGCTGCTGCTTGTGGCTGCGGGCGGCGGACTGGTTGACCCGGTTCTTGGCCCGCTGAAGCTCCTCGTAGGAGCCGAAGAAGCCTCGGAGGGGAGGCGAAGAGTGGCTGAGGTAGAACCTCATAGCCACGTCCATGGGCATTACGGGGCCAGGCATCGCTGATGGACTGAATGACCTGAGCAGGCTGAGGGAGGGGGAGAGGGAAAGGGGGGGAGTTTGAGAGATATAGAAAGAGAGAGGGGGAGGGTTTAGAACGGTCCCTTGTCTTTTCTGATTTAACAAAAAGTCGTGTTTCTCTGCTTATTTGGATGCAACTTGACATTTCCGCAGTGACCCAAATTCCACAACTTTGCCATTTCTATTTCCATGAAAAGTTCCCATTTCACTGCTTCTTTATTCTGCAGATTAAAACTGAACTAGACTTGTGATCTAAATCGATCAAGCTAAAACTTTTACAGATGTTCAACCTTCTCTATGTTGCAGCATGACATACGTCATCTTTGCAAAACAACAGAAACGTTCTCGTCCTTACCTTGCAGCGCTCATCGAATAGAACGAATAAACAATTCCGAGGAGGAAGTTTAAAAAAAAAAAAAAGTTCTCTGTCCCTTTGTGACTGCTGGCAGTGTTTCCTAAAATGTCATGCTGTCGTCACGCCTCCCTCCGCCTCGCAGTGCGCTGGTCCTGCTCACCGCTCGGGGATTTCAACTGCCACATAGAGCTCATTTGCATACGCTGTCATATGGCTCTCCGGGCAGCCAATGAAAAGGCTCGTGGAATCCAGGGCCAACCAATCGGCGCAGACGCGGGCCGGCTGATGGGGGGGGCGTGTCGGCTGCATGGGCCTCATAGTTGGGATGCCTCGAGGCTGTTGCCTCAGCTGCCATGCGAGAAGCACGATGGACCCCTGCTGGTGTTGGAGATGACCTTCACCGTGCTGCATGAGACCTCCGGCTCTCCATGACGGGGGTTAGTTCTGTCCCTGGGACTTGGCTGAAAGCAGACTGACGCATGGAAATGATTTTGCTAGTTTCTAAAACAAATCACTTTTTTGTTTATGTGATTGAACATTCTGATCATTTCCTTTGGAAATTTATTTAATTGCCTGAAAAATGGTGAAATAACGCTAATAATAATAATAATGCAATAAACGTCATCCTTAGTCTCATCTGGCTCATGTGTTTCCATCCCTTGTTTCTGTAAATAGCAACTCCTTGGCTTGGAGTGGAGATTCCTTTGAATCAGGAGTGCTTTCGAATCTTCCAAAACATCCAGGTGATGTAAAGATCTTTCAATGGTTTCCCGCTCTGTAATGCCTCTGCGTGCCCCTGGATCAGACCCAAAGCATCAAACAGCCACTTTCGCATGTAGAAACAACTGACTTGTGCGTCTGTGGGTTAAAAAAATCAATGAGGCCTCAAACGTGACCTCGGGATTGCAACGGAAAAATGTCTTTATACAGCATCATTTACAACCAAATCAACTGAAAAATTAACAGTAAGTACTGATGAAAGCTTTTATTAATGAATAAAAACTAGAGAATATTGTTTTTAACTATGTTATATAAAAATAGTCTACAGGTATCATCAAAGTTAAATACTCAGTTATACTTTTAGTTAGAATGATAGTTTCCAGTTTGATTGTTTTTCAACATTCAAAAACACGTTATATACTATTTATGATATATATAAACTATGTGTATGTATGTATATACTTTACTTACATGCATATACATGTTTGAATGTGTGTAAACAGCAAATAAACACTGTGATGTCATCAAGCACATCATTGGTATCCATCATACTAACAATCTAATATTACCTTTACAAATAACAAAAGTACTTTCTGTTTTGTTCTCTCTTTTGAAGCTTTTTAAATATAATTTCAATCTCTATTTGCTATTTTGCAATCCAGATTCAGTGACCTTTACTGGCTCACCAGCGCTGCTTGTGTACATATTGCTAAATTAGAAATACAAACACGAGGATAAAGACATTGGTAATGAATACATAAGATGAATATACATATATATATACATTGGCAGCCTGTGACAGATAAACATACACCTGAAGATGGGTTGTGGCCCTTTTGGTGACAGAGCGAGTGAGCGATCGGCGCCGTTGGTGCTCGGGGGCAGACGGGCTGCCAGTTGGCAAGGTGACTGTTCACTGGACCCCCTGCAGCCGGAGGGGCTCAGGAGAGGCTACCGGGCACCGTGATTGGCTCACAGCTGTTGCGTGACTTAGATTTTTTAAATGATGTTGACGGCATCAAACTTATGTTTGACTTTATTGCCCACGAATACTTCCATCAGAGCAGAGTCTAATACCAAGCATACCTGCACGATAGCCAGAGCGGAAATAGTCAGGATTCTTTCCATTTATTATATAATGTCATCTTTGTCTTTATTTATCTGTGAATCTGCAAAGACTGGGCAGTGATGGAGAAGTGGAGCGGTACGTGAGAGCTCCATGAAGGTTCTGATTTATCCTGATCGGCGGCCTCGATCAATGACACCAGCGAGTGAGCGAGCATGCGTGAGGAGTGACTGGCCGATGTAGGAGTGCATCCACGGGTTTAGCTTCATTTGCATCATTCACCATCTTAATTTCAGACATTAAACTCATTACATGTTTTTTTCTTTACTATTGCCCATCAAATTACAACAAAATACAAATCCCACCTCCCACGTCTCAATGTTGGTGTGCTGAGACCTATTTATAGCTGTGTCTACCATGATAAAATAATCACCTTCTCTATTTCATGAGCTCTAAAGGAATGTATCCGTCTCGCAAGATCAGTGGAAAGGTGACTCCGAAGAATCTGGGTTTACAAGTGGACTCCATTCAACCCGGGACACACCCCCATGTTGAGACTTAGTCCACAAACCAACGGGGGGTTGACGTCACGGTGACCACTACCCCTCATTGTAGTCTCCGCTTGCCGTACCTGTATATTGCAGCAGGAGATATGTCTCATAAAACGTTGTGAAACAGCGTGTAATCACATCCGCTGACTCATGTAATCTCAAAGGTTCCTCCCTGGTGACAGGTGTGAAGCCTGAGGCCCCCGTGCAGGGCCGGATTATCAGGAACCTCAAGCCACCTCTGACTCTAAAGCGGTCAGGTGACCTGCGGAGGGTTGAGCGCAGACCATTTCTTGTCCATGCGCTCTGTCTGCGGCAGACAGGTGGGGAAAAGGGGATTTTTTTTCTCGCTTGTTTGCTTTTTTTTTTCTGCTGCTGCAGTCGATAAAGTTAAAAGTCAAAATTGTCCCTATCAGTCACGCAGTCCCAGCGTGCCGAGGTGTGCACCGCTAGTCAACCCTGCACACTTGGCACACCCGAGCGCTGTGGGGAAATGGGGTCAGCCCTACCCACACATGCACTTTGAAACGGCACAGTGAATCAATCAATTCAACTTTATTTTAGACTGCGTGTCCAGATCCGACCGGTGAGCAAATAGCTCTAAAATAAAAACAGAAAGTTCAAACGGAACCCAACACGAAAACAGCGCAGGGCACAGGCCGCGCTGTGCCGTACGGTGGGACAGCAACCATTCACAGGACGGTCTGGAAAGTATTGACTCCTGCAGCGCCCGAGCATTTCACTGCCACTTCTCCCTCCGGCAGCGTCCCAGACACAAAGTGTTATCTAACATCCATTTATATACAAGCTCACAGTGTGTTGAAAGCTTTTCTTGTCCTTATCTGAGGCGCATAGACACACACACACACACAGATTGTGTCACCCCGGGCTCAGCTGGTCTTGAAATAATCAGGCCTCCGTGGTTATCTGGCTGATAACCACGGAGCGTGAAGCGGCCCGTTATCAGCGGTCGCTTTTACTCCGACACCGGAGGACGACCCGAGGTCAACGAGTCCGTCTGAATTCATATCAAGTGGGAGTGTGCGTCTGTCTTATGATTGTGTCAATGAGGGCCCGTACACACATCCTCGCAGCCCTCAGCTTGAGTGGCCTGCAAACGTTCCCACACACAAAGAACATTTTTACAATTGTTTAATCCAGGTGACACCACTGATCCTTGCACAAAAACAAAAAACTAAAATAAAATGATATTTGCTACGTTTAACACAAGCTTAAATACGACTTCTTTGCAGCACAGAATACTAGTGATGCATGAAAATGTTAATTGTGCGTGTCAGAACGCTAAATCAGTAACTTGCTACCAGTCAGCATTTCCACATCTTACATCAGCCTGCAAACATTCAATATTGCCAAAAATGTTACATAATAAATAAATAGAATTTCACAGGGAAACGTTGTGCAATTTCTTTTACTACTTTGGTATCTATTTGACGCTGGAGTAACCTGTAATTTCGCAGGCGTTGAATGTGATGCATCATGGTGAGTTGGCCATTATGTAAAGTAGTTAGACCCGTTAAAGCATGATGGCCTTAATTACAAATGTAGTCATTTTATTTTGTCCCCATCTCCATGTATATGTCAAATAAACCAGTCTGCTGTGGACATGACATGCATTAGAATGTCCCTATGAAGCGCTTCTAGGACGGACCGCTGCCACAATATCAATTGTCCTGGTCAGACGGTGTGCCGGTCAAAATAAGCGGCGCTGATGGGAGCGGTTAATGAGTGGCCCGACGCGCTGAACTCGTTCAACTGTCGATGTTCGATGAGAAGGAGGCCGGGAGTCACCTGCCTCGTGTCTCGACCGTCGAGTGGACGAAGCGTGTAAGAAGCAGCTGCTGTCAGAAATGTCCACGTTTCAGGTTATGTATACTACATGAAGGTATATGTATGAAACGTACTGACGTACTGATAGTAGTAGTACTGCTGTCTGTAGTTTTTACTGCAGCGATCCAGCAGTGACCTCTGGTGGCATCTCATTTGTCTGTTGCTCTGCCAAAGTTTTGATTCTGAAGAAAAGGAACACTTGCGAATCACTTAATCCTTGTTAGAATAACATTCAAATTATTTGGCAAATGAAATTATATCTAAAGTGAACGCACACATAGGTCAGGTGTTAATACTTCTGGGTTTATTGAATAGGATGACTGACATTATGCACTTATAACCCCTTTCCAGCAGAGAGCAGCAGAGAAACGCTGAATCAAGCATTCAGAGGAATCGTAGACTGAAACTATGGTTATGAACATGAACCAGAAGAGTCTGCAGCGTTCAACCCGTCCGATCAAACAGGAAGCAGAGAATCACATCTGGGATCAGCAGCTCTTTTTTGCATTGAAAGAAGAACTTAAAATGTCCTCTCAAACCTAATTTACATTGATTTACGTAATTAGAATTAGAAAAGGTAAAACTCAAAATGTGCTCCACAATTTCTTCGAAAAAAGGGCCTTCAAGTGCTTTGTTCTAAGTAATTAAATGACAATTAAACTAAACTCTCATCCCATTGGATGAATTCAAATGTTTATTAAAACCAGAAATAATCCCTTTGTCTTAAATGGTAATCAGTGACACTCAAACATCAAGGACAGACACAGAATGTTAACTAACAGTACCGCCAACATTGAATAAACTACTAAACTGAACACTTTATTGTTCTTGTTGGGTTTCTTATTATGGATTTATCAGCTGATGTGATGTTCGGCCGGCGCAGGAGGTCCGGCTCAGATCCAGTGTGCAACTTCAAATACACGGTCCAACCAGCGATGAGCTGCAACTCTGACACCAGTTCTGCCTTAAAAGGGTTTCCCACAAAGGTTTAGCGCCTTGGTCCGCGGCTCAGTAGAACCTCGCGTTGGTTTGAGAATGTGTGCCGGGGGCGAGGGCCCACAATGACCAAAGGGGGGGGAAATGAAGACGGCAGAGAAAAGCTGAGGAATAAAAGCTGAGGCGGGGAGCCGCCAGCCCCTCACTGCGCCCGAGTCCCTGCAGGCAGAGCGCCAGCGTCCATCATGGGGGGTCTTAGTGTCCAAATCTATGGAGGACCTGAGCCATGCTGCTCCCTGCTGTGTGTGTGTGTGTGTGTGTGTGTGTGTGTGTGTGCGCGTTGGGACAATCAGGTGAGCATGTTGATGTACAGAATGTTACAGAACACGGATGGATGGATGGTACAATATATAGAGCTCAGAAGGTGTTCTGCTGTATTTGTGGTAACTTTGTCATTCATTCTGATACATCCAGAAACCGACGGCAGCAGGAGAGGCTTGATGCCCTGTGCGTGACGCTTGATCACGCACTGGGGAGTTACATTTACACAATTAATGGGAAATACACACAGAAATTGGGGAAAGTTTCCACCTGGAGGTTTTGACTCAAGTTCAATTTCTCACTATAACTCCGAGTCGTAACACTATAAAATAATAATGTGAAGCTCAACTTGTGAGATGCTGTAGGCCTGACAGCACGAATGTGTTACTCAAAAACATAAAGTAACGTCTCAGAACATGAAAGCAATAACCTCAAAATAAGTGAGAGCATCTTTAGTCAGCGGTAGTGGTTCTGACAAACCGGTCGATGCGGACGACTAACTCAAAGCTTGATAGCTTTTGAAATAAACTAGTTGACGCGGTTCCAACGTTTCCATAACAAGAATCTCTGCCCCACAAGGCCAGCGGGATTCAGCAATAATTGGCATCTGTGTGTGTCCACACACACACAGTGGCACCCGCTGTGTCATACACCTCCTTTTAACAAATTGCAGGCTACACTGAGCTATAGATCCGGCAAATTGCCACAGAAACCACTACAACACACACACACACACACACACATAGACACATACACACAAACCGCCTTTTGAGGTGTTGGCATGGTAACAGCTGAAAGGTATCCAGGCTCTCTGAATGGCCGGTTCCCTCCTTCTCTCCTTTGGACTCGTTCGGCTGCAAAGTTAGATGTTCTATAATCAAAGCTCTTCGTTAGACTGCGCTGAGTAGACATGGACCTTCAATACTACGGTGTTGTTAAGCTGTTGTGTACAAACGCGTTTGACCTAAAACTGGTGGAGAAACGTACGTTTGATATGTTGAACGGACCTTTGCAATTCTCACTGAAAATAAATCAATACATGATCTGATGGACACGTTGAACGTTCTTGGTTTGGGGTAAAATAACTATTGGCTGGTGGTGTGATGGGGGAAGAAGGCCTCATTGACTGCTGGTTGGGTCCGTACATACCTTTTTATGGTATTTACTGGAATGAACCAATAGGCCGACCAGCTCGTATTAAAAACGTGTATGTTTTCAACACACGGTGGGAGTTGTCTCTGATTTATTGTTGTACACTATGTGAAGCCCCCCGAGCTGTTTCCTTTCAGTCCCTCGCACAACAGAGCAGCAAAATGCAGCGACGGACCAATGAAAGAGACGAAAAAAGTCACGACTTTAGAACTCGTGCTGATCAACTCCTCTAAACTATTTTTATTCATTTGTTGTTTCATTGATATTTATTCCCTGTATTGAATTTTAAAAAAAAAGAGTATTTATATTTAAGTAAGTATTTTAGTATGTAAGTATTTATATATATATATATATATATATATATATATACATATATATATATATATATATATATATATATATATATATATATATATATGTGTGTGTGCCTAAGGTGTTTTTTAATACCAAGGTAGAGCTGGAAAATCATTTTTTTTAAGTTTATTTTTTATTGATGAATTCCGGGAACAACTTTTTTTTAGGTCAAAAAAAGGCTGCTTGAGTCTTGCTGCCGCAAATCACATTTAACAGATTTATTGTTCATACAGAACAGTTTCACAAAGTTTACAGGAAATATTAACTCAACGCCACGAAAATAAGATGTTAATTACTACTATTACCGCCATCATCATCAGAGATGATCAGTCATTGATTGATTGATTGTTCACCGAAACACTATTTTTATTAGTTATTCAAAAAGTTGAAACAGCTCAACTACAATGTAGACAAAAAAACACAGTTAAAGTTAAAAAATTCTTAATTAACACAAGATCCAAAGTTAATGTAGTCAGAATGATTCGTTTTCCTCTTTTCAAATACAGTTTGCAGAGTGTGTGAGGACTTGGAGGAACATTTATGTCTTTTATTTAGTGTTGGCAGGTTTAGTATAATTGTTTTGTAAAATTTACTTGAGTACTTTGTACTCAATCAGCTCAGTGGTGAGAAAATGAAAACCTTTTAGAAATGAGCTGCCTGGTGTTTCCTGCACACATTTGTTTTCTAACATTTTAGATTGTGAATTCGCACCATCATGTGTCAAAAAATCAGCTTCGCATTTCCTTAATAACTTTCACATCAACCCTCAAAAAACTTGACGAAGAACGAGCAGACGGAGTGCCACCCCCCGTTGCAGTAAGTCTGCACGGGCGCCATGTCGTTCACCACCCCTTCCTCGTCGAACCCCATCCAGTCCTCCTTCTTTTTCTCCTCCTCCTGCTCCTTGTTCTTCCTCCTCTCCGCCTTCCCTCCGTCCGAGGCCTTGCCGGCCGGCGGCGCTCTCTTCTTCCCGCCCTTCCTCTCCTCGTCTCCGCTGCGTTGGGCCAGCTTCATGTGGGCCTCGGCCGGAGCCTTCTTGCAGGTTTTAGCCTTCAGGACTTTCTCTCCTTCGCATGCGTTCTGCCTCTTCTTCAGCTTCCCCACCAGCTGCTTCCAGTACTGGCTGGACTTCACCCCGTAGGCCTGGCAGAGGTCGGGTTTACCGGCGTAGCGGCACCAATACCTGGAGGAGAATTGAGGGGCGGAAAAAGGTAAATGGAAAGTCCAGTTCTCTGAATGGCTTCAGACAAACCACACAGAACTTTGTGCCAGATGTTTCTCAACGGTGAGCGCAGACAACAGACTTGACAACCACACACGTCATCCTCTCTTTGCATATTACAAAATATTTCCAATATTTTGGAGGCCTGTAGCCTTCTTTGTTTGAATAAAATAGAGAGAAAGGGGACCTGATCCAACTGAAACGTGTCTACATGTTTGGTTTCCATCCCTGTTGCCTTGCTTGTACAAACCAGATGTTCAACCTGAACCTGTCCACGTCAAGGATGTGAACTGTCCCCACATCACACGCTGTTGGACGTCGTGTTCCCTGTGTTCCCGCTATTATTCAACCGGAACACACTGTCCAAATCAGTCCGACTCAGCTGCTCCGTCTAATCATGAATGTGTGTCACGTTCGTCCCACCAGGCAGATCAGTCCACAATTATTCAAACCACCAGAGGAGCGATTTGAATAACGGGCGCCGGGTTTTGAGTGACATTCTCTCTTGCCGCGGCGCTTCGCTCACCTCTGCTGGACTCCCAGTGTTTCAGCGCTGCAGTTCACCAGCAGGCGGACCAGGCCTTCGCCGGACGTCTGCCAGGTGCAGCTGTGGCCCTCCTTGGTGGTCAGCTCCCCGGAGCCCGGCACCGAGCGGTTTCTAGCTCTCTTGGCTGGTTGGGGGGACGGTGGGGGCTGGCGGGGTTTGTCCGGTTTCCCCTCGCCGGGCTGCCGCTTGGCCTCCGCGATGGCGGGGAGGCAGAGGAGGAGGAGGAGGAGGAGACTGCATGGCAGGACACTCATGGTGACCGGAGACACTGAAGGAAAAGATGAGATGAGAGCCTGTAGCAGCACATCTGTTTTTGCTTTTTTAATAAATATCCTTTTTTTTTTAGCTCTGAAAGTCAGTGTCAGCGACTTTACAGGTAACTGTTTTGTTTTTGTGAAAAAGAAAAACTCACAAAACTCTTACCTTGCTAGCTGGTGAATAAAATAGAATATTTGGCAGGTGAGGAGACTGGTGTTTTTCTCAGGACCTGGATAGAGACCAAAACCCAAGCTATCAGGTTTTATCAGGTAACAACTTTTAACTTCTTACTCAAAACACTGGATCCTACATTTCCCATAATACAACTTAATACAACCTCTCAGGCCATTGGCGCTTTGCAAATGCCAATACACTTAAACCCCACCATGAACTTTGGTTTTAAATGCAGAAGAACATTGATTGAATACCAAGATTATCGATTAGAATGAATGCTTTTTTTCCCCTATCCATTTATAAAATGCTTATCCAGTGCCGAGTGGAGACAACTTGTGTCCTTCACCACGCCAGAGCACAGCGTTCAAGCTCCTCCCCGGGAACCCTGAGGCCAAGCCAGCCGAATGAATGCAATACTTGTAATCCCTGTACGGTGTTCTGAGTCGGCCCCGGGGTTCTCTTGGCATGTTGGGCCACGCCGCTACAGTCGGCCTGTTTCAATGTGAGGGAACAGCACCTTCAACGACCAAATGGATCGATCCGAAGAAGCCGACGGAACCACATCATCCGCAAAGATAGTTGTTTACCGACACGGCTCTTCTTTTTGTTTCCCACAAACGCACGTTTAGACGGGAAAACTCCCACGAGGCCGCAAACAGACCTGCGAGGGAAAAGAGCCGATTCTCTCTGCGCCCGTCCCATTAAAAGATGGCTTTGGAGTGACAGACCCTGGTCTGAGGCGTGTCGGCCCAACTATGTCCGAAAACGTTCCCCCGTGGATGTAACTTACAGTATTCTTACCACGTAGTTAACAGAAGGAATCTGTACAGAATGAAATGTTCAGAGAAGTCGTGTGAGTAGAGAGCTTTCTAAATCAGCAATTCATTTCACTCCTTCAAACCGAGGCCTTGAATGAGGCAAAATAAGAATATATGGCTTCAACACTGGAACATCTCGTGATATAATTCTCTGTCTGAAGGTATTCGGCATCACGGAACTTTAAAAGGGCTTTGTTTTTTACCCAAGAGGTGGAGAATGTCAAAGAGTGGCGCAGCACGACAGAGTTAAACGTTCTTAGAAAACAGACAATGAGCTCCGAGTGGGGGCGTGAGTCTCTGTCGGTGACTTATTGAAAGTCAGCCAAGCGTCAGAAACACTCCCCCAAGACGCCGCGGACCGGACTCGCTGCTGTCGCACATGGAGCAGGGAGGGAGGGGAGATCGAGGGGGGGGGGAAGCAGCTACACTCACATTAATTATTCATTCCACATGGATTTGTCTCATGAGAAAAAACGTGCTATCAAATGCAAAGAGACACTGGAAAATACAGAGATAGATAATGTCGCTTAAGACCCGTTTTTGTTGTTCGCACACAATATTTTAAACAAAAATGCATGAAAAACAAAACTTAACATTGATTTTAGCAAAGTTCAATAAAGTAAATGTATAGAACTGGTCATAGTGAATCCGAATGCTTTGTCTCTTCTGCCTGCAGTTGATTACTCGAGTTGTGTGTTTAACTAACTGCCTTTGCAATCACCACAATAAGCAGTTAGAGTGGATTAATGCGAGTGGCCCTGTGTCTGTGCATCCGCTCCTAATGTGTGCAAACAACAAAAACAGGTCGTGAGGAGCCGTAGTCATTCACAGTCTTGTTTGTTTTAATGAGGTTGAAAATTAAATCAATACATCAGTACATTGTGCTCCAGGGATGAGGAGGTTTTTTTTTGTTTCCTCTATATCCAAAGCACTCTCGCAACAAAGGGGAGAATAAATATAAAATATAGTTATTATATTTATCTATATTTGGAGAAAAAAAACAGAGAAAAATAATACGCACACTGATCCCGGAGCTTTCCTGCTCATCAACTCCTTTCAAATTTCATTTTATTAAATCTATTTTAAATAGACTGAGAGTAAAACCGGCATTGATCTGCCTCCCGTGTTCATTTTTGAACAATAGCAAACCCGTTCTTTGTGATTGTATTCTTCCCATAACAGATGAGTGAATCATATAATCACACAAAATATAAAATGTACCACACAACAAGCTGTACCTCTCCTAATTACGCGCCAGGGAGGACTGTAAAACTAAAATGACCACTTACCAAAAAACAACCTCATGCAATCACCGACCATTCATTTAGTTAACTACTTTGTTATGATTAAGTTTACAACCAGCATGGTTTCTAATTTATCTCCATGCAGCACGCAGGCAAACACACTCTGCTTGAACGGATTAACCTCCCTGGATGGTGCTTCATGCTATGAGCGCCGAGGGAACAGCACGTACAGTTTAACACAAGAGCTCGTGTAACACAAACAAACAAGCGCTGCTGAATTGTTTTTCTGTAAAAATGTCCCTTTGGGTCTGAACCTCCAGCTGGAGTGGCGTCCTGGGTGCGGATCACGCCAGGTGTTTCTGCAACTCGCCGTAACGTGTGAAGCAGTGCGACGCGCATAATCCCCCGTCTAGACGCCCATTGGCCCGCGCGCGTTGTCGACCGCGGGTCATTCGCTCCGTCAACAAGCAGCCGTGTATTTAGGCCACGAGCTCATGTTCTTTGTGTCCGAGGCTCCACCACCAAGGTGTGTGGGGGCCCACGAGGAGACGCTGTCGTAGCGCTAGCTCCGCGAGCCGTTAGCCAGAAGTTTGGCCTAAATAAATCTACGAATATATAAATGTCTTTAGTTTCCCGGAGGGAATTCTGTTGAGACAGAAAATACATCAAGCTGCTTCTTATTGAAGAAGAAAGTGAGGCCATGCGGATTTCAGAAGCTGTGGTTTCGGCTTTTTCGCTGTTTTTTTTTTTTTCCCAGATTCTCCTTAAATATTTCAAATGTTGACGCTCATCTTCAAATGCAAAAAGAAATCACATCCTATCGGCAGTGTGAAACGGCTTTCAGCTGCAGCTTTGTCTGAGAGATGGAAAACAAAGACACGCAGCACCAAAACAAAAATAATCCCGCTTCCATGCACGCCTCCCCCCCCTCACCCCCCTCACTCCCTCCCTCCGACAGGCCGCCTCATCAATAAGTCATGACAATAAACACAATCTTTCCCCTTTGCCTCCCACGCTGCGATATCTGGTTTGACAGCTGTAAATGAAGACTACAGTTCCGTGTGCGGCGTTCGTTACTCAGTGTGAGCAGAGGCCCGGTGTTCTTACCATGTGACGCTGCACGCCTCAGAGCTGCTGTGGGAATGTGGGGACCACAAACACTCGGATAAAAGAGGGGGAGAGGAGAAGGATAAAGGAGGAGAGGAGGGAGAGGGGGGGGGGCGGGGGGGAGGTGAGGACTATACGAAGAATTGGCCACCCCAAAAGCACCTCCCACAATCCCCCCTCCCGACAAAACCCTATATGTGTGTGTGCGTGTGTGTGTGTGTGAGAGAGAGAGAGGACAATGGACACACTATGAGACACTGATGACACCTCGGGGTTCTGGATGCTTCGGTGTCGTTCATCTCCACAACAAAATGCTTTTCAACAAGATTCTGCACGAATGCTTCAAGATGTTGTGATCTTGTTGAAATAAATATGACAAAACAAAGACTTGTCGGAAGTTGCATGATCTGAACATGAACAGCGTATATATTTAAAAGGCACCATGTTGATCACGCAGCGTTCCTTCTCTCTGTTTGGAGCATCAGGTCTTCAGTGGGCCTTTTGAATAGAGGGTCCATTGCCAGCCCTGGAAAAGTGCAAAACAACTGCAGGCAGATGTTCGGATCCTAGACAGTGCGATAAAAGCAACGTGATCTCCAAAACCTGTTAGTAAAAACGTGTACGAAAATCATGAACATACCAATTCATAACAATACATACGAGCTGGCGGTGGTTAACCACGCCCCTTGAGCGAACAACATGGCGGACCATGTCGCATTCTTGAGTGAACGTCTCTCCGCCATGTTGGATTTTTTGAGGGGGTTCTGGTTAGTATTCTATTCTAACAAGTTAACAATCATAACACGTTTATTTTACATCGTTAGACTTCACAAAGTGTGTTTACGGGGCGCAGGTCCCCGTTCACTTTGAATAGGGTGACGTCATCAGCTGCAGTCCGTATTTATTTCGTATGTATCACTACGAATTTGCATGTTCAAGATTTTCGTATAGATTTTTACGAACAGGTTTTGGAGATCAGGCTGGATAAAAGAGAGATGCACAAGATACGATCGCCACTGAGCTGTTGTGAAAAATTAAACTTCAGATGACCGAGGTGGATTATCCGCCATGTGCTAAAACAGTCATTATATAATATTCAGGATTAATGTGGTCAGAAAATGAGCATTCCAAAAATGCCAAATTCAGGCCATTCAGACGGCTGCGGTCGAAGCGTTCGTCCTAAATGTGAATGTGCAACGAGCTCCTGCAGAGCCGGTGACCTTTTCTTCATAAATCCAGAGCTCTTTCCAGAAAGAGAGACGAACAAACACGGTACAAGCGAAAAGAGACCTACGAATGTTCCACGTATCCCCAAAAACGATCCATAACGCATGGACATGAAAGAACGTCCCTGCTCAAAGTCACTTTCTCTGTTGGCCCGAGTCCCCCGTCCATGACAGCGAGTATCACGGCCGTCAGCGCGATGAATGAGGAGAATCTTTATCTCTCTCCTCCAGGACAAAGCGTGGTGGAGGAATCTGGGTCACAGCTTAACCCCCCGTTGACACCCCCAGTCTTCTCCTCATTCAGCTCGGGGGTCGCTGGAGATCCGAAGACGGCCCCTGGCCGGCAGACGCTGCCAAAAATCTGCTTGGCGAGAGAAGGATGTCCTGAAAACAAGGCGACCGCGGTAAACATGTTGTTTTTTTACGCCCGAGCTCGAGACCAATCGGGGACAAACGTGTCACTTTTCTCCTCAGCCGCCAGTACGCTTTGCTCTCCAGCGCGCAGGTAGACGTGCAGGGGGGGGTCATGGTGTATGAACCGTGGAGGGGAAGGAGTACAAGTTAGATGGTCTTCCTCAACACTCCATCTTTTGTTTTGGCATTTTTTACACCAGAGAGAGAGAGATTTGTCATTTGTGGGCAGTAAAGATGGAGGAGGACAGAACAGAGATCTTTCCGTTGGTAGTTTCCACAGTTATTTTGACCCAAACGGCAATTTAGTGTTTCCTCTGAAGACTGAAGTTTATTTAGAAAAGGCCGTATTTTATAAGCAGAAATGAACGTACAGGTCTATAGATTATGTTCACTTGTGACTCCAACTGATGAACACTCAAACGCCCCCGAAATAAGAAAGAAATCCCTTCAATCGTGTATCTTCTTTAGGTGGTATACATGTTGGATCTAATGTGTGTGTGTGTGTGTGTGAGAGGGACGGTGCCGAGTCATCAGAGAACAGATCAGCAGCTGTGACTCTGTTGCCTCCTGTTGGTGGATTCTAGAAACACAAACAGAGAGCTGAATAGGAAAAGAAACACTTCATCTGTTGTTGAACGCTGAAGGTGCTGACACCCTGTTCTCATGCACACGTTGTCGTATTCATGCTGCAGGGAGGCCTTGTTTTGCTTTTCGGAGGCTTGATTTGAACACACGTTCCCCCTTTCATCTTCCAATGTCTTCTCCTCTGTACATTTACCCCACAAGACTGCAAAGCTGACGGAGCGACTGCGAGGTCGCCTTCTAGCTGTCCATTCGTGTGTGTGTGTGTGTGTGTGTGTGTGTGTGTGTGTGGTGAGCGAGACGATGCTGGTGATACTCGGAGCCCTTGAGAACTAACAGAGGTCTCCACTTTGGGCTGTTTCAACGATCGCTGAGAGGTGGCCGCAATCAGCGCCGCATCTCCGCCGTCACCTCCTCTGCCGTGATTACTGCATTGATTATGACACCAAACCACCAACTTAAGTGTGTCTGTGTGTGTGTGTGTGTTTGAGACAAAAGGCCAACCGAAAGGAGGTGATTTGAAATAGAATTGGACGGGACGGTAAAGGAGCTGCATGAAAATCCTCTAAAGCTGAAATAGCTGTTTTCTGTTTGCATAAATACTGCTCAGGGCGTGAAGGGTGAGAGTGAGATGCTCACAGAATATACATATATATATATATATATGTATCTGGTTTTAGCAATTACCATCAACGTCCAATTGCATATTTCAACTAGCAATTAGGCCTTAGTCAACGTTAACAAGCAACCCAGTAAACAAAGCAAAAGGAAGAAAGTAATGAAAGTTTGAAAGAATCAACGTGAACATTTTGTCATTGAACTAAAAGCGCAATTCAAGGGGTTTTCATCATCATCAAAAAATAAATACCTGAGCGATGAGTAAGTGACGCACTGGATGAATGTATCCGAACGGTCCTCCAGGAGGACCATCATGGCTGTTTCTATGACAACTGAGTAACCGTTTTCACTGCCTCACCAGCCTGCGATCACTCCGTCTGTTATCTAAGTGATGGATCCGAGTTCATGCCGCTGCGTGACTACAGGGAACAAACATCCAGCCAGATGTTTGAAATATGTTTCCCAAGTGCCTTCACTCAATCACTCAATTCACTGGACCGACATGTTTAATTTAACTAAAAATAAGTGTAAATCACTTTTGATTCAGGTATTTAATATTCAGGTTGGTGCAGCTGTGCTGCTAATATATAGATGAAATGAAGCTTGCGTAGCTCCGTGTGTTACTAGGACACAGTGGAATCAGAAAACAATGGCAGCAATCGCCATCACTGGAAAGACGAGCGTTAAATGCTGACGGCGAAGTTGTGCGTGTGCCTGCGTGGGAGTAAATAAGTGAAAATGTAACCGGCAGATCTGGGTGAGATATCAGCTTCACATTTACATCCAGTGACAGAATTCAGGAGAACACAAAGTCACAAACAGGTGAAGGCATCACATTGGATACAAGGGATCAACTTAACCCAGAAGTTAAAGCATCAACCCTACAGCGGCTTAAACGTGGTAAGTATTTAAAATAAAAGAGAAAACATAAAAAAGTGGTTTCTCAGAAACTGGGAAGACGCTGCACAGCTGGCATCCCGACGCAAAATTCCACATCTGCATCAGTCGCATCGTGTATTCCTGTTGCTGTGTGCGATTTCACATTTTGCATAGTGAAATGTCCCAACGAGTCCTTCAAATCAACCGAGGAGACGTGTTGTTTGTCCACGCTCACGAGGACGCCGCTGCTCATGTGCTTTGTTTCTGTTTAACGATTTTATTCCACCACTGAAAGGCCTTAAAGTGCTCCACGAAAAACAGACCCCACGTCACCAGAGAGGAGATGCGGAGGACGCAGAAGAACACCGGGTTCAAATGCGGGATGCTGACCTCGTCATTTATTCCTTTTATAGACCCAGATGTGAATTGCATTCAAACAGGTAAAGGACGTCAGAGACATGATGTGCGCGTGGGTGTCGAGAGAGGAGAATGAGCGTGTTCTCGTTAACCACGACCCTGACGTCCCACCTTTTAGGAGATGATCATTGAGTTGTGAAATACTAACATTGCAATCATTATAAACGATTAGTGCAACGCTTTAAAAAAAAAACAAGCGAGGTACTTTGGTAAAGGTTCCGGGCTGGTGGAGTGATTTTACTCTCGACCTCTAAATGCAGCGACACATCTGCGTCTCTGGCAGCGGGGACACATCTGCATAGTGATGCCCCCTCCTAGTGATGAAGTGGTGTCGCTTTCCTCTTTTGACAGTCGACAATCATGGAGCAGAGCTGCGGAAGAATAAAATCTCATTATCATTCTGTGACACTTCCTGTGCCTTCTTTCTTATAATTAAATGTTCAAATGGTCAAAGACCTTAAGATTTTCTCATCTAAATTGCGAGCTCTGTCATTGGTTAAGATTCTGCTCAATTCTGCAAATTAGATTTTTGGGGAAAATAAGTGTCTATAACCTATGAAGCAATCACAGGCTCTTGAGCCTCATCAACACATCCACGTCTCTGTTCAGTTCTCAGATGGACAGAGAGACCATGCGGAGACGCGGGGACCTTTGTGTCAAACAGAGAGTCGCTGCTCTTCAGGCATGAAGCGAAATGGGAAATGATGACGGCCGAGAGAAGTGTGACACGGTTTCATCCAGGCAGGCAAAGAAGAGAACAGACAATTTAAAGCATTGAATATCGCTAATATTTCTTTTTCCTCTGTCTGCACCGAATAGTATGAGCACACATCCATCCAGAAACATTGACATGAATCCCAATTGGTACATGACTGTTAAATTTATGCAAGATAGGAACATTGTTTGTTTCCATCAAAGGCGGAATGCGAAACGCTTCAAATGTTGAATTGTGTGCCGCCATCATCTTTCTTTCTTTTGGTAAAGTAGACGAGAAAAGAAGCATCCAAGCACCAAAAACCCTAAAATAGCACTCGGTTAGTTTCTTTCCTAATGTAAAAAAAATGAATTACTGGAGTAAACAATACAATAGCGCTTGAGCAGCTGAAATGTTCGTCTCTCTTGTCTGGAGGAAACACCTGTGGGGTTCAGGGTGTCGTCCCCTTTGCGGCCCCCCGGGGGCCTCGGCTTCGTTTCAACTCCACTACCGACTGAAGATTAAAGGAGCAGGCGGAGAGACGTTGGGGAAAAGAAAAGCTTCATGCTTTTTCTATCATGTTTTGTTTTATTCCAACGTCAAGGATGTGACATAATTAATCCTCACAGAGATTCATTGTTAGCGGCGTCAGAATTAGCAGCTCATCCTGTGAAACATCTGTACGCTCGGGATAAAATCAATTCCTAAATACACAGAACACCGGGGGGGGGGTTATGGAGGGGGGGTTGAACATCAACAGATATGCTTCCACTAGTAGTAATACACAGGAAACACTTTGCATATCCTGTGCTGTTGTATTGTTCTTTGAAAGTTAACAACAGAGGTGCAGCAGGATGTTTCTGCAGCAGGTTCATCGTGACTCAGAGGTCACCAGTGAAAATGAAGCCTCCCGCCGCTGTTGTTTGAAACAAGCCGCTGATGACTGCAAACAGGTTCCTTTTTGGCTCCATTGGGCCTGAATTTCACTTTTTCTGTATTCAATGCTTTGACCTTCATCACTTAGACTGGTTTTTAATATTCCCGGGTTCACTGCTGAGGTGCTTAGTGAAGGTGTTTTGAGCTCTCGTCACGCTGATGAAACACTTTCTGTTTTGTGGCAAACGCTTACTCTCCAAACTTGGCTGACGACCTCAGTAATTATTTTTACACTTTTCCTCAGAGGTCTGTAGGAAGCGATTAGGATGGTGATGGAGGGTGGTGGGGTGACGGAGCAGGTAAGAGTTGGACACCCCCGCATGGTAAAGGTTTATTTTTCACCAGTCCTTTAATACATTATGAGGTTTTCTTCCGTACGATTTACTAACCTGTTGCAAACATCATCACCTTAAATTAGCATGTTCTGAATTTTCCACTTCAGCCCAATATACAGATATTAAAACAACACATTTTCTTCCACCACTAATTTCCTTTTGTTCAGAGTAGGTCCTCGGGGAATAATATCTGTGAGGACATTTTCCCACCAATTACTAAACTTGTGTTGCTGATTATTCCATGAGTAATAAATAAGTGGAATAACCGAAGCTGATCTTTGGCTGGTTGTGTGTCTGGCCTCAGTGTGGCCACAGGGTTCCACCTGCACCCTTCTGGCTCAATAGATTGTGTTCTCAACAGCACAGCGTGTACCAAATGTCTGCAACTTGCCTCATATTAATATGCTAATTCAATTAGATCTTTATTTGTCGTATGATGGCCTTAATGCACATAAATTGACAAAAGAACGACGTGTACGGCAACTATTGTAATAATCCTGTAATACCAGGAATAAACTAGCAGCTAGCACTGCAACGGTTCCCTTTAATTTTGTGGTTAATTTACATTCAAATGAAAACCTGAGAATGATATTCAACAACCAAAACGATTGAATGAATGAATGAGTGAGAAACCTGAAAGAAAGACTTGAACACGCGCAGACATGATGTGAATGGTTCTTGGTATATCTTGACAGCTGTGTTCCATTTCGGGCCGTCTTCACACGCTGCACTTCGACAACGAGCACTTCATCACAGCCTGATGTCACAGGCACAGCTCGATGTCTCACACCTTCAACTTCAAACTTAACCGTCCAATTATTTTAACTTTTCTCCAAGAAAACCGCAGACATTCTAGAGCGCAGGAATGGAATAGTTGAAACATTTGGAACCACTTTAATGACAATGAAAATCATCACTTGAGGCTGCAGGATTGGGAGCTTTCCTCTCAAAGAGCCTCCTGCTTACAACAATGTTAACAGCCATAACAACGCACACAACAACAAGAGAGCGGACAGAATTAGGGGTGTCAACCTGAGGGGGGGGGGCGGGGCGGTTGGTGCTACGCTTCTTCACAGTGAAGATCTGTGGCTCTTATCTTACCGTGTCAAGTAGGTCTAATTAAATTAAACTAAATATGCTTCCATTTAAATAAGTGCAAATACAGAAACTGAGCAAAACAATCCAGCAGTCACATTGAATGAATGAGTAAATTGTGATGTTTTCATTTTATCTGAAGCTTTACGGTTGTGGCTTTAGTACGTTTCGCCGGACATTACAGAGCAGCTTGGTTATAAAGCCTTCAAAGTCCTCCGTCATTTCAAATGAAATGAAAAGAAAAAAACTAGGGAGTAAAAGTTTAACTGCAGTTCGTTTTAAGTTGATGCTTTTATTTTGAAGGCAACACAGCATAACTTCCTGTTTCACTATGGCCGCCCAAACTCAATGCACGATCTGTCCTATTCCTCCTGTTGGATTTGTCCTGGCAGTAGAGCATCACTCTCGAGCCCCATCGCCGAGGTGAACGGCGTGATCGTTTCCAAGGAGACCTCCGGGTCATCCTCCAGCTGCACGGTGGCGGGGAGCAGCGGCAGTCTGTTGTGGCTCCGGGAACCATTGGAGATGATCGAGTCTTCGTCGAACTGGGGGCTCGTGTCCTCCAGGTGATCCGACACCACGTTGATGGTGCGCGGTGGCGGCGGCGGCTGCGTGGGCACCAGCGTCTCCTTGTGGAGCGTCGTGTCGTGGTGGTAGGAGACCAGCTCGTCGCTGAAGTTCACAGCCTCCACGGCGTTGCTGGAGCACATTTGGTTGCAGCCCAGGATGGTGGCGAAAGCCCGGCGGAAGTCCGCGTTGAATGCATAAATGACCGGGTTGAGGGAAGAGTTGGCCCAGCCGAACCACACGAAGACGGTGAAGGTGGTGTCGCTGACGCAGGGCGGGTCACAGAACGGCACCGTGCAGTTGAGGACGAAGAACGGCAGCCAGCAGAAGACGAACACCCCCATGATGATGGAGAGGGTCTTCAGGACTTTGGTTTCCTTCTTGAAGGACGACTTGAGCGAGGCTTCCTCGTTGGGCCTGTGCTGCTGCTGCTGCTGCTGGTTCCGGTTCCCTCCGTAGCCTTGGTTCTGCGCCTGCTCCGCCGCCCGCTCCAAAGACGTGATGCGGCGTATCTGGGTCTGAGCGATCCTGTAGATCCGGGTGTAGGTGGCGATCATGATGACCACCGGGATGTAGAAGCTGATGAGGGAGGAGGAGATGGCGTAGGTTTTGTTCAGGTTGGCGACGCAGCTCTTGGCGGCGGCGCTGGCGTTGACGTTGCTGCTGTTTGTGAAATTCCTGCCAGCGGCCGCCATCATCTCCATCACTCGCTCCATCGCCTCTCCACCCTCCTCCCCGACCTGATGCCAGTTGAGCTGCACAGGGATGAAGGAGATCAAGATGGACAGCGACCACGCCACCCCGATCATCACGAAGGCCACGCGGTGAGTCATCTTGCGCTCGTACTTGAACGGGCTGGCGATGGCCCAGTAGCGGTCCACGCTGATGATGCACAGGTTCAGGATGGAGGCCGTGGAGCACATGATGTCGAAGGCGATCCAGACCCCACAAAAGCGCCCGAACAGCCACGTCCCCGTCACCTCCGTGATGGCCTCCCAGGGCATGACCAGCACGGCCACGAACAGGTCGGACACGGCCAGCGAGATGACGAAGAAGTTGGTGACCTTGGAGCGCAGGTGGCGGAAGCGGACCACGGCGGCGCACACCAGCGTGTTCCCGAGCAGCGTGGACACGATGAGCAGGAAGAGGACGCAGCCGACCAGGACGCGCAGCCCCCCGCTCGCTCCGCCGCTGCCGCCGTCGGCCTCTTCTTCCTCGCCGGCCGTCCCGCCCAGCTCCGACAGAACTTGGGTGAAATTACTCCAAGTCGCGGTGTAGTTTTCCATTTTCTTCCCCGCAGAAGGAGCGACGGAGGTAACGGGGGGGTTAGTGGCCGCTTGTCTTCCGCGCGGCGACTCCTGGCGCACAAACCATCCTCTGTGTCCCTCAGTGGAGAGAAACCCAGCGTGCGACTTTCTTATGGATCAGATTTCATCCGCAGAAGAATTGCAACTGGTGATGATAACTCAGTGAGCACGGGGAGGGAGGACGTGTCCGCCCTGGTCTTTGGTCCCGGAGTGGACTCGCAGTGGACTCACCTCTGTCCGTGTGAAGCGCAGGCTCTCAGTCAGGTGCAGCCCTGCGGGGGGGTCGTTGCCTCCCCGCCGCAGGTTGCTGCCGTCCGATTCCACGTCGTGCGTTTCGGAGTCCAAAGACGTGCGTGGATTTTATGTAAACGCGCGCGCGTCTGAGTTGTGAGATGGTCGTGCCACTTTGTACTCGTGTGTTCCCGAGCGCTTCTGTGACAAATAACATGTGACTTAATGAAAAAAAAAGGCAACACAACAATTACGACTATAAGAGGAATTTGTTCTATATTATTTATATCTATTTGCAATGATTTACTAGTTTTCCTCTTTAAAGTATGCAGTCATTTTGGGAAAGAAATATGAATATTCCAATTTATAATCATAATGCAATATTAATTGAAAATAATAACAATAATCAGAATCTTAAGCAGTAAGCTAGAATACATTCATTTGACTTCTTAAATCTTCTGTTATTTCAGTGGGCTACTGTGATTTTCAGCAGGCAAAAGGCAAAATAACAAGATATTAACAGATGCACAATAAGCACATGCGGCATATAAAAGGAGTAGTTCAGTTAAGCGCATACACGCAAAACAAATCCTGAACTAACTAACTGAATATAAAATGATGACATTTTAGTGCTACTTCCTCTAAAGATGCAGACGCATCCTTTTAATTCCGTCTTAATGATCAACGCATTTGACATTGCATTATTTTAGAGGTCCTTTTCCAGTGAAATTCGAATTAATCGGCCAATTCTGAGCGAACGGTTTGTCGACATCTTCTTCATGCTACACTGTGTTTAATCATTAATGAAATTTAAAAGCCAGGTGCTTCTTTATTTCTCAGGTTGTTATGGGGCCCTCTGCTGGTGTCTGCTGCTGTCACTGTTGAGGCATTAAGGAGCAAAAAAAACAAAAAGGCTTTGCATTTCTGGCTCCTTCCCACCATTTGGTTGGTTATTCTCCACAATCTGTGAAGTCACGACTCGTATTTGCTGCATTTCAAGGTGAATTTGATGTTGTGTTTCTTTTGTCATTCTGCTACATCCAGTCCCTTCAGTCCTTCTCACGTTCTTGTGCCGCAGACGTCATTCATGAAAGTCTCATTCATCAAACTGAAGGGCAGAGTGTCTTTAAACAAAAAGGAAGTCCAACAAACCTTTTAAAGGTGGTGCGAAGAAAGAAAGGCCTCCATTTTTTGTGGCAACCCTGAAATATGTTTGGCACATCGCCCGTGGTTTTATTTCTGCGCCAGGGCTCCGAAGTTTGAAGCTCAGTGAAAAGTATTTTTATGCAAACAAATGAGACACGTTGCTTAGACCTGAGTGGATCTACTAAGTGCGCAGTAGAAAATAACTATGATGCCTGAGTTTAGTCATCTGGGATTCAAGGCAAAGAAATGACCTGAGGCCGTGACGGTAAGTGGGTCATGTGGCCACCAGATGGCGCCACCTGTCTACTGTTGTGTCTTTACACGCCAAACTATGAAGTAAACTACACCTGAATTATTTCGTGTCCTCTTTAAACTTATCAAAGATAATCTGACCAACACGTGTTGTGGAACCCGGCATACTGGAAGTGCTCATTACCTCTAGATCAACAATGGTTGTTGTGTAGAAGCTTCTTGTTCTTTAATGCAACACAAAGGAGGGATTCCAAAATGGCCTCGGTATTGGTCACTGTGAGGCACGACGTATCTCAGGTAAGTGTCCCTTTGTTTAGTTTCAGTAGTTCAAATGTAAAGCAACATTCCTTCATTGCACGTTAAGCTCTTGGTGTCACGTTTGTGATGAACGCACTGAACTCTGTAAGTCTCATTTTGGGGGTTTTGCAATGCATCCACAAACTACAACAGCAGACACAGCCGGTAACAAACCAACGCAGTGCATTGTTAATGTGAAAGCTAGAACAGCTTTTGAAGCCATGTGAGGACGTCAGCGTGTCACTCAGAAGCAAACCCCGCCCCAAATTCCCAAAAATCAAAGGGTGTGTACAGCACTGCTTCAGCAAACCGGTCTCCTAATACCTAAAGTTAAAATAACACAGTTTTGTTGAGCGGGCCGACAACAGAAAGGTCGGATCAAGACTCGCATTAGTTAATGAAGACCGGTCTCACCTCACAGACCGCTCGGGCACGACGTTACTGGTGAATTATAAGTGATGGCGGTGGTTTTGAAGTCTGAACTTTCTCTTTTTTTAATCTCAATGACAGACTTGAACACACGATTGACAAGTGATGACTAGTGCGTGTTCAGCAATAGCAGCGCCTCCTTTGTGCAAACGCTCCGTATAGCCAGATGGAAAGTCTGTTAACATGGAAGAGCCGAAATGGGTTAAAACACGCAGGCAACTAGAAACCAAATACACCTTTGCGTTTTGCGTTATTAAAACTGTCTAAGGGAGCTTATCTGAGGGGGGGAATTATGCAAGCTCAAGTATTGGCACAGTTTAAGCTCCGCTCTTTCTCTTTAGGGATCAAAGCGTTGATTCCGTTGCTGCCCTCGGGCCTTGGAGTTAAACTGTCCTCGATTAACTTTCACAAACCCCCCGAAGCATACATTACTGCTTATCCGCCCAGATCTCAGTAATGGCAACACCTTTCTGTCCTTATAGACAGATGTGAGATCATGAAAAGGTCAAACCGAGTGTGCGTGCATGTATACGTTGGGAACAAATAGAACGTTTAACCTTTTAGAATCACACACCTCTGTGCAGCCTTTAAACTTTGTGTTTTCTAGTGCAGCATTGGAAGAGCTGTGTGGAAACAACAAAGCTGATGAATTGGATAAACGTCCTCAATGACAAAAAAAATTGAGTGTGAAAATTCTGTTAAATTATCACGGCAAACTATAGTTTCCAATTTGTACTTGAAAATTTGAGAGATGCACAGCAACAACAACAATAATAATACCTATTACCTATAATAGATATATGACGCACAACCGTGACTCACGGCAACATCATGTCTTTGTTTGCGGTTGCTATAAACCTTTGTTTTTTACATCTGCTCACACGACGTGTACTTGCACGTATGTGTGTGTGTGTGTTGCACGTTGCCACCAGGCGAGGGAAGAGTCCCCTCTGACGCAGGCGGGCGGATCCTTATCGCCCGTAGTCACACCCGGTGGCAGATCGCGCTGAGGCTGACGGTTGCACGTCGAGGTGAAAAGTTGAAACTATAATCACTGTTTTGGTGCGACTGTTGATGGGCGAGGACGGATGCTCATTGTGTGCGTGTGTCTGTGAAAGCGCGTGTGTATACACTTTTGGTTTTAGTTTGAATGCACATAACTATAGTTTGATAATGACGCACAAACAAACATTTTGACAGGGTAAATGAATGTAGTTCCCTCAGGAAACCAGCTCGTAGCCCACCTGTCGTTGAACCAAGGCCTGTGTTTGTGTGTCTGTGTGTGTGTGTGTGTGTGTGTGTGTGTGTGTTTGTGGAATGCCGCGCAGTGAACTCGGCAGTGCGTCTTCCACTGAAGCCGAGCGTCACTCGGAGGCTTCCCAGCCGACATGAGCAGAGCATCACGGCTCACCTGAGAGCTCGTCTGGAGGAGTCAAAAGGAGAAGGAGATCCTGTGTGAGTGCAGCTCACACAGATGAGAACACTCAATGCTCAAGCTTTGGTACATTTCAGTTCCCCACGAAAACCCCCTGAGGACACTTGATATGTGTTTGGGGAGGTTAGTGCATCACAGTGAGCACTTTGCCACCTTGTAAGTGAAATTAAATACTATATATTTTGAGCAGAATTCTTTTTTTTTTTGACAACCTGGATCTTATTTTCATGGTTTTCTCCACTGCGCTTATCGTACACTTAATTGCTCGGTGAACATATGCTACAACGTCTCGCCCCAAAGCAAAGTTCCTGTCTGTCTACTTTGGATGTTGTGCGTGCCATCGACAGTAAAGAGAGACAGTTAATACCCACTAAGGTGTAACCTATCCAACAACACGTCCGTCAACCTAAAAACAGAAACAAACCTCGCCAACGCTCTCCAATGCTCGCCTGTCAGTCGCTTCTTTTTGTAGTTATTTAGTTGTCCGTGACCTTTTTTGCTTTAGTGTGAATGCCTCCCTCGTCACAGCAGGTGAGGACCGGGTCTCTACCAGTTCATTCAGATGACAGAACGTAGCAGAGCTCCACCACCAACCCCCTCATGCAGCTTTTGAGTCATTGCTCAACCTTTTTGTTGCTGCACTTGAAAAACTTGAATTGGGAAATTGTCACTTCACATTACCTTGTTTGACCATGGAAGTCTGGATTAATGAGCGTAATTGGCAACCTTGATGACAGGAAATATCACGCTCCTTCAGTGAATGCGGAAGTTCAGGTAGTCGCGAGGGTTGTATTTCACCCACAGCCGAGGGTTTAGAGAGTAAAAAGCCCAAAGTAGAGAGAGACACGTGGGGTGGTTGTGACCCACTGCTGAACTTTACAGGAATAATGACCCTGGAGGACAAGTGTGTGTATGTGTGTGTGAGCGAGTGTCAAACATGTTATCGTAGCAGCCGTGCTTGTTTTAGATCTTATCCTGGTTTTCAGGGTTCATGTGTTTCGGAGTTAATAGTTGTTATCGTCCATGATGGCTCTGGGCTTTAAAAACACTCCACTCGGCTGTCAGGATATTTTTAGCTTCTGGGGGGAATTTTTGTGTTTCCCTTCTGAACTTAAAGGTCAATTCAAAATGTGTTTTGGTATCCGCTGATTCAACTCAATATAAACCCATATGTTTACCTTAAAATATCATGTTATTATGAATTATGTATACATTGGAAATTGACCTCTATTTTTTGGCAATATTTTCTTTTTTTATTCGCTCAGCCTGTAGTATGTGACCCTTCTACTCATCGGAAATTAGGCTTTTAACCGTCAAGGACCGAAATACACCTCTAGATTTCATAGTATTCCCAGATCTTAATACTTTACTTCTAATTCATTATTTGTACACTTGGGTTTGAACACATTTTGGCCCCCGTCGTTTTCCACGAAGACGGAGCGATTGAGAGAGCGGTCCAGTCATAAATCCTGCAGTTTGACAGCAAACACACGGCCGGGTCACCAAGAAAACACACACACACCTTCACACACACAAAGGTGGTCTCTAGCCCCTGGCTGCAACTGAGATGAGGGGTGTGAGTGTGTGTGTGAGTGTGTGTGTGTGTGTT